TTCCAAACTGTAACGTTTATAAATACTTGAGTTCCATGAAACTATTCATCTGTATTTTGCATCCCTCATTTAACATTTGCATATGCATGTGTTCCTTCTCCGCTACGTCCTCGTCCGGCTTTCTGTCTTTGTCTTGTCAGCTGACGTCCTGACCATCTGACCAAGCTTGAAGTATTTACTGAAGGATAGAAAAATAACAAAAGATATGGGTTCCATGTCTGGTTTTAGAATAAGGACTAATCTGATATTTGATCTTCCCTCTAATGACAATGTTCAACAAGTGGATGTTCTTACGCAACCGCAGCCTGTGCAAGATAACCTGGTTGTTCAAGTTGATGAAAGAGATTCTCAATTTCCGCAATATATATCAAATCCTTCTAATGTTCATACTGAGATGAAGGTGGACGATCCTAGATTTTTAGCAATTGAGAAAGGGTTTCGTGATCTCGAGGAACAATTGGAGATGATGAAGGGAGCTAATACATCTAGTATTAATGCTCATGACTTGTGTTTAGTTTCAGGCGTGATTATTCCTCCTAAGTTCAAGATGCCTTCCTTCGAAGTATACAAAGGTGTTAGCTGTCCAAGATACCATTTGACGATGTTTTGTCGGAAGATGACCGCTTATATTGACAATGACAAATTGATGATTCACTGCTTTCAAGAAAGTTTATGTGGGGCATCCTTGATATGGTATATGAAAATACAAAGGAATCGTATTCAGTCGTGGAGAGATTTAGCTGATGCTTTTGTGAAGCAGTACAATTAAAATTTGGATATGGCTCCAGACAGTGATCAATTGATGAACATGAGTAAGAATTACAATGAATCTTTCAGGGAGTATGCACAATGTTGGAAAGAGTTGGCTGCCCAAGTTTATCCACCACTTAAAGAGAAAGAGTTAACCAAGATGTTTCTAAGAACGTTTCCAGACTCTTATTATAATAGAATGGTAGGCATTGTGCCATTGGATTTCTCTAAGATTGTGGAAGTCAGAGTAAACATCGAGAACGCACTCAAAAGTGGAAGAATCCATGATGACTCAAATAACCAAGCTAATGAAGAAGATTCGATCAGTAACTCCCTAGAGGAAGGAAGTGTTGATGTTAATGCAATTTGGGATTCCTCTCAAATCCTGCCTGATCCTGCTCCAGTACCTTATCCTCAACATCGGTATGCAGCGCCTGCTCCGCACAAACGAAGACTACCTCATAAATGAAGGGTGACATCTCCATATCAACATCAGAGTTGACGAGTTCGAAAACGGTTTCAGAATCAGAAGATACCTTTGAGTGTTCTAAAAGAAGAGATTCGCCAGTTTGATCCAATCCCGACAACCTACAATCAACTATGGTCTTATTTTGCTAGAAACTCGGTGATGACTCCCAGAAAGACTAGAATCATGAAGTCTCTCCCACCGTGGTTCGACTCGAACGCCAGCTGTGAATTTCATGACGGAGTAATGGGGCATTCGATTGAAGAATGCAAGGTTTTCCAAGAAAGAGTCCAAGAGATGATTGATGATGAAGTGCTAACCTTCAAAGGAGGGAGCCCGATCTTGAATGGAACACCATTATGCTGATATATGTGGAAACTCTATAAGGGCTCATCAAAGTGTTTATTTTTGTTTGCTTACATGTGTACTTTTATTTCTTTGATTAAAAGCATAATTGGCATGTAAGAACTTGTTATTTTGAATAAGTAATGCAATAAAATGTTTGCCTTGAAGAAATCCATTTTTATTCACTCGTAAAATTATTTTTCATGTTTTTATAATGCCAATTTTACCCAATCTTTCCTCACTGTGGTGAAGAATTGGAAGGAGAATGACGAAGTAAAACATAAGATCTCTTGACGTATGCTTTTGAATAAAACCCTACTGATGATGTAAGGCACTCTTTCAAACCTCCTAAACACCAGAGATATAAGGAAGTTAAATCCTTTTTAACCATTTTAAAGATTTATCTTTAACCCGAGGCAGGGCAATTTCCAGTCAGCTTAATTGAACACTTAAAACTTTCAAAAAAAGAAATGAACTTTCAAAAATGGGTGGGTACAAATAAGCTTTGACCCTTATTCCTTTTGTTTTACAAATCACCCAATCGAAGAAAAAGTTTTATTTCGAAAGCATACTCAGTGAGATAACGTTTCCTGACTCTTATGAGCTATGCTCAAATTTCGTTGGCTTTATAAATATAAATTTATATCCTAATTAGTGATATTGTCACAAGTCATCGTGATATCTCTTTTCAAAAACTTCAAGACAAACATGTATGTTGCATTATCAACTTCGGAATTAACATTTCATGCGTGCTGATTTTTCCTGATATCTTAGAAAGTTTACATATAAACATTGGCATTAAGTTTGTTCTTTTGGAATTTGAAGACTCTGTTAACTTGGGGCAAGTTGGTTCAAAGATTTCTCACTGTTACAAATTTGAATTCACCTAGGGAGCTAATTTTCGAAGCCACAGATACATCACACAATCAATCTGGGCTAGTTACGTCGAGATTCGGCGAATCTCTCCAGAGAGTTTGGAAATAGTGGAGCATTTGGATACCGTGTTTTCTATAAAATCCTATTGAGAACGACTTCTTCTCATAACCATATGACTTAGGGCATTTGAGAGCTAGTTTTTGTTCAAAATGACGACTACCACGTAGTTCATATGTACAAAATTTCATCAACAATTCTTCATACATGTCCCCGGTAAATTTTACTTCAGGTGGTCATGATTTCTCCGATGAATCTTTTCGATGATTCTCCAGTTGGTGACTTGAGATTCCCAGTGATTTGCTTAACTTCACCTTTCCAGTGAAGTGGATTCTATTTTACTCTCCAGTGAAGTTGCCATTTCTGTCGCGGTGAGAATTGGATGTCAAATTATTAATTAATTTTAATCTTAATTCATTTATTTCACCACCGGTCTTTTATTTGTCCGAAGGAAGGGAAAAAGATCTAATTACCCACAATGCAATCCAAATGCAAAAGCTAGAGAGTTATAGGTTCAGGGTTGGTTAAACTTAGGGAAGGTGCTAGCATTCTAAGTTTCTGTAGTACTTTACAGGAACCTCCTATTTTAATGTGTTTATTGCTAAGGGTAATCTGCCTAAGGATAAAAGACCTAGTGGTTTAATTCTAAGTATACTCGCCAAGACGTTTCATCTTGTGCCAACATATCCTGACAGAAATGGAATCAGAGTATTTGTAGTTCCCCTTAAAGGGTTTGAGGAGCTCTTTGATTGTTGGTCAAAGTTCCAAAGGGATAAAGGGTTTGTTGATTGATTGATTCTAGGAGAAAAGACGAGTCTTCGTCTTAAGGGAGAACACTCGACTTTGACCACCACAACTTGTAGGAGATGATCTTTGCATCGTCTTGAGAGAAGAGCTCAAACACTCAGAATTGTCGACGAGTATGCCACTATCTCTCTCAAGCGGAAAAGATCTTATATCTCATGATTTGTGTTATGGGGCAGGAGAATTACATCTCGGCGGTCAAGATGACTCATGTCTAATTCTCTAATAGTTTGAATAATTTGAATTGAGTTGATTAAGCTTATTCTAAGTTGTAAAAGGTAAAAGGTCCTCCTTATAAGGTAAGATCTAACTTAAGCGATCGACTTGAAAATGATCAAGGATCAAGTAGGGGAAAATGGTTCAAATGAAATGCATACGCACAAGTATTACGTCATGCACAAATTTTTCCTTTGGACATATGCGATGTGGTAAGATAAATGACGATAAAATAAACAACGGCGAAATAAGGTCACACACACGGATAAAGTGCTAAAACAATAAGCCAAGTGTGAAAGTCGTGTGAATATTCGAATATAATCGGAGCGGAGACGTATGGAATCGTGCACGATGATTAAGTTGTGCGATGTTGATTTTAAGAGAAATTGAGTTTTATTAGTGAATTTAGATTAGGAATTAGATCGATTTAATGAACTGAAAAAGGCTAATACTTGATTAAGTTGAATGAGAAATAGTTAACATAGTAATGATTTATTAAAAAAGTTTTATTAATTATAAAAAAACTACGAGTTAATTTAAACTATAAAATAGATTTTATTATTAAATGCAGATAAATTAGTAATTAAAATTGCAAGTTATTTAAAACAAATTTTTGTTAAAAAATTTTTTTTAGTTATTATTATTAAAGAGAAAAATTAATTTAAATATAAAAAGAGTTTATTATTAGTAAACAAATACAAATTAAATTAAAAAAAATAGATTTTCATTGAACAATTTTACACATAAAACTTATTAAGTTGATTAGTGAATATAGTGAATTGAGTTATAAAGATAAATTAAAGAAAAAAAAGATTTAAGTAAAGAATTTTAATTAATTAAATAAAGTTAATTAAATAAATGTGCTGTTAATTATTTTAATTAAAATAAAGCTGATTAAAAGATTAATATAGTGGTTAATTAATTAAAAAGATTAATGATATATTAATTAAAAGGGGGAATCAAAGTTTAACGGTCAGGTTTAGTGGTTAATTAAAGAGATTGGGGAGGGTTAATTAATGAGTGGGGCGGATGATTGCGTATGGACAGTTTGTGTGAGGTGTACGGTGGAGTTACGTAGGTGAGGATCGTAGATTAGCGATGAACGATGACGATCACGAGGGTGCAAGGTTGTAACGGTGTGTGCGCGCGCGTACGATTACATGGTACAAAAAAAATAAAACTGAAAAAAAAGCCAAATCCCTAAATCCTTAATTCTCTCTTCCTCAGCCGATCCACCTCCTTCTCTCTTCTTCGCGCCGCATGCTCCTTTCATCCTCTTCTTCGTCTTCTACCTTCTCCAACTCCCTGGATCTGTATTTGATAACCTTGGCAGCTGCATCTAACTTGCGTACGACATCGTTTTAGCGTAACCACTTTCTCTGTCTACTCTCTGGATCTGGATTTGATAATTAGATCGAAAACGTTCGTTCGGAATCCTTCTCCTTCGTGCTTACCTACATCGTTCAACCAGAATCGATCTCATCTCATGGCACCTCCACCAGGACCTTATTCTGGAACCAGCACCCTAGCTTTGGTAAAATCCTTCTTTCCCTCTTTTATTTTCATCAAGAAATTTACAGTATTAATCGATTTATCAGAATTTTTAATTTTAGGGTTTTCTTCATTTGTAGGTCGCTAGAGCTTCTGCTTTCTCTTTCGGCATTGTTTATGGATCCATTAAGCTCAAGTTGCTAAAGGTATAGTAATGAATTCCTTGTTCTAAATGGGATTTGAAATATATTTCCATTAGTTATATCTAGATTATCTAGAAAATTTAAGATGCTTGCTTGCTGCAACATCTTTTATTATTATTATTATTATGCACTTTGTGTATAACTTCTTTAAGCGCTTATTCATTGATGTTTGATTCCTGTTATCACATTTGTTCTAATTTCAGTCAAAAGCAAAGTCTCAACAGAAAGCTGAGGCCAAGGCTCATCACTGAAAGCAGTAAGATGGATGGAGCAGAATACCCAAATAATTCATGACGTGGAACTTTACCATGTTTTCGCCCAAAATTTTTCTTCTGATTTAAGCTTTAGTTAATCATAAGCATTGAGTTTAGTGCATTGTGAAAATGTTCAAATTAAGATGATTTTGTCTTGTTTTTATAACCACATTGTCTTAGTTTGAGTTTCAAGTTTATATTGCGATGGCCTGCTATATATTTTTTTTGTTATTTGCTCTAGACATGAATCTTTCTCCACTAATTTAGTTGTCTTCCTGTTGGTAATTACTACTTTGTTATGCTTTTTAAAATTTTCAGATTTGTTCTGAATTGAGTTAGTCGGTCACTGTTTTCTTGTGCGCTGTATAAACTCATAGTAATTGCCCTCAGATTAATGACCGGATGTTTTCTGAATACAATTTAATGTGCCTTGTTTTGAAACGACGAGGGTTTGAAGGTGGTGTGGATGCGATTTTGGAGATTCTGACGAAGGTGCTTTGTTGAAGGTTCGCGGAGGAAATTCTGGGTAACGTTGACATTGAACTTGTTAAAGAATTAAAAACACTTGATCAGTGTATTATGTTGGGGTTATCTTCTCGCCATTTCTCGTTGGAATTTTGGAATTTTTAGTTACCGATTTGTTTGTTGTCACAACAATTTAGTTACCCATTTTGTTTGTTGTCACAACAATTTAGTTACCCATTTTGATAAATCTCATATCTTTGTTAATATCTTAGATTTTAGAAAAATGTGGTCGTTCATATTCAATAAGCAAAAAAAAATAAAATTAACACTGCCGCATTTTTTGAAAAGTCTTGTTAATTTATAGGATTTATTCAAAAAAGTATTGTAGGTTAATGTATTTTTTCAAAAGTGTGGTAGTTTATCGGATTTTTTTAAAAAAATTCAAAAGATTACAATTTTTTTTTTTGAAAAATCAAGTACTAGAGATTTTAAAAATAGCTACTTTAATTAAATTGGTAAATTTTAAAGTCAAAGATTGTTCGAAGAAATAAATCTAGTAGAAGAAAATGATAAACATGTACCAACTAACGTAAGTTCCCTATTCGATGCAAATTTGAGCAAGAAATAAAAAAGATCTTTAAAGAATATAAAAATTGATTTGCATAAGACTACACAGTAATATCAGGTCTAAACTGAAGTGTTGTAGAATATCTTTGAAGAGAGCAATCAAAGTAAGTCTCAGAAAGTTAGTGTTTTCCAAGATAAAGGCAGGAATCGAAAAATTGCTCGAAGCCGAATTCATTTGAGTAACCAGATACATCAATTGAGTATATTCTTATGCAGTATCAGTATAAAATGTTTTATATTGTCATGTATCACAATTAATCGTTATATCATTTTTTAATGTGATTAAAATAAAACTCAAATCTTTTAAATAAATGAATAGTTGTGATTAAATGATAGTTTAAATTTTTTTTACACTATGAGTGTAGAACAATTAAATTTATATTGTAATATTGTTCTTCTTTATAAAAAAAATCTTTCGCTAAGCAGGATATCATACTCCTTCCGTTTTTTATTATAAGTCATTTTTTACTTTTCACACATATTAAAAAATATAATAATTATGGCATGAAAAAAAATTATGAATGATTTTATAAAATTATCCTTCATTAATAATATTGAAAAGACAAATTTATATAATTGAAATGAAAGAGAATAATAAACATTTAAGAATATAATAAAAAAAAATTAACATTAATAGTTCATTGATATTATAAAACAATTTATATCGTATGGTAAACAATATTTTTTCAAAGCGACTTGTAATAAATAAATAAAAAAGAGATAATATTTCTAGAGCTACAACTATTAAAATGGGTTAATCCACGTGAGACCCGAAAAATCACATAACTTAAATCATAAAATTAGACTCTATATTTTTTAGGGTTTTTTAAATCCAATTCTAAAAAATCTACTATCCATTAGGACCAATCCATATAAGTCGTGGGTAGCTTATTAGGCTCACATCGATATAAATTTTAAAAAATAATATTAATATTTATATCATTTTACTACAAAATAATTTATTGATTTTTCTCATTTTACTAAATTTTATTTTTAATCTTTTCAATCTTTTTCATTTAAATATTATACATTAATATAATTAACTCTCTTTTCTTATTCTATTAACTTCTCTTATATTAAATAATCTAGTATTATTTTATACAATTTAGAATGTATTTTATTTAAAAACATGTTATAGTATTTATAAAAAATAATATATTATATTTAAAATAATATAATTTTAGTTTTATTTATTATGATATTTTGATTTTTATTTTATTTGTTTAAAAAAATTTGTTTAAGATCGAGTAGTCTAAAGTCTATTTGAGACCATTTTTGGATAGTAATTTTTGAGCGCATATTAAAAATGAATTTTTTTGATACAATTTTAAAAAATTCAAATCATCAGAACTAGCTCGTTTAAAATCGAGTAGTTGATTTTAACAGCTCTACCAAATAGTTGATATGTTAATAGCATCTGACAATTAAATTTAAATTTTAAAGGATGAGTATATTTAAATGTCCAAAATCATTAAGAACTTTTGAATAGGGTAATATTGTCATTCAGATTAAAAGAAATGCAGGAGCAACATAAATAAGAGAATTAGACTTAATCTTTCACAATTTTTTTTTTTTTGGATGATTTTGTACGAGTATATGTAAATGATATTTTGGTCAAATCCAAATAAAATAGCCCTTTTCACGCATCTAAGAAAATCCTTTGAGACGACTTAACTTGAAAATGAATTCTATTAAATGTATTTTTAGTGTAAATGCATGAAAATGTATAGGATTCTTATTTCTTAATTCAAGAAAGAGGGGTATAAGTGGATTTAATCAAAACAAAAGTTATTTTAGAATTTTCCTCTCTAATAAACAAAACAAAAAACACTCTAATTTTTTTTTGGAAAAGTAAATTTTCTTAGAAGATTAATTTCAAATCTTTGAAGAAATCATGATATATATATGTATATGATAAATTATAAAAGACTATTTAAAAGACATCATGATAGTGTGTGCATCAAGCTTGAGGATCTAAAATGATTTGATTTATAAATTTTTTGGAAAGACTCAAAATTATGTAATGTACTTGGATACGTGGAATCCACCTTGACATAAAGATACACTTTTCTGACCAGCTGTTAAGAAATAACAATTCTTTGTTGTGTTTGGTACGTTGTGTTGTTTGATTAGTCTCTCACGGTCATTTTATTGGAATTTTATTTCTTTTTTACATGTGACATGGTTGATGAGAACATATTGAAAAAAATATAGGAGGAAAAAGTTGGGTCCTCCTATGACCCTTCTACTGCTAGTCCTTCTAATCCCATCATTGTTGTCTACATAAGAGATGATGATGAAGTGATAGATCAATGTAGCTTACCGTCACCTAGGAGGCATAATAAGGATGTGTGTTTCTCGGTCTAGGAGAAGCTTGTGATACCAATTGCAGAAGATGTGCCAATAATGCTTTTGATAATTGCACCTTTCTTCCCTCAAGTCCTTCCAAACTGTACTCTGTGCTTTAAGAAAATGCCAATTATGTGACCAACCTAGTGCCTCTAACGTTACAAGCAGTCCTTGTAGAATGAATTCCTCATGTGGCCTGCATGATGTCCTTAATCTGTGCTTTTCTGAATTCAGATAGGGAAATGTCTGCATGAGATGAGCAATTGTCTTATGATTTTGACCATTCCTAGAAATAAGTTTGTAAGGCTTTGGCTATAAAATAGAATTTACGGGCTAAGTTGGTTTTGTCATAATAATTTTTCAACTTTGCTTTTTCCGTGATGAGGTGAAAGTGAGGCTTCTTACCACAATTAATTTTGAACTCAAGAGACTTTAGGATGAAGGTCGCTTTCAAGAGGTTGTGAAGATTAAGATTGTGATTACTTAGAACATTGATTTTTCTAAGCATTTTGCTGAATATGAGGATGACATAATTATTGCTAATACTCAAAGTTTTGAAAATATTATTGTGCAGATTCACATTTTGAATCATGCTTGCATTTTGAGATTGGGGCATGCATGTTCGCAAATACCTAATAGATGAGAGGGTTAGGTAATTGATGATCTAGATATTATGGATCTACTAGCAAGTATAGTTAAGATGATTCAAGGCTGTGAAACTTATAGATAGCAAAGTTGCAAGTGAAATGATTAGATATTTATTTTTGATGATGACAATACTTAATATCAAATGATATCCAGAGAAGCCAAATACTTGTTAAAAATATCTCAAGAGGTCAAAGATGTACAAGATGGTTGATTAAGTTATCCTTTTGAATCAAGCCATCCTCTTGAAGATTGTGTCAATACTGTGGTCAAATGAAATTCAATTGAAGAATTTTGTTTCAAGAGTCACTGATGGTTTACATCTATCAACTCTCAGATGATGGAAATCAATACAAAGATATCTCAAGTCTCATTAAGAAATTAAAAGCTCTTGTATATTGTCAAACTCAAAGATAAATGATGTCAAAACTTGAAGCTTCAGAGTTATGAAAGAGAGGAAGTGTGAAAGCTCGTTTGCTCGTGTCTATCTGAGTGACTAGTGTCTTGTAAAGACACAAAGTTATTTCTTGAAATACTATGGCTAAATCATACACACATTTAAAACATTTGTGAAGCCTATCATATTTTATTTGAACCACTAGAAAATATTTTTAGGGCCTAGGTGGTTTATTAGAGGAGTGTCTGATTGATTGAAAGACTTTTTTTATCTAATTAATTGATTAGATCATTAACCTATGTGTTGTTTGGTTGAGTCTAAAATCGATTGAGATAGTCTCAAAATGATTGGTAACATTTATATGCCAAAACCTTCCATTTATGGCTTGTGCAATTGATTACTATGATGGGTCATCATGAGGGAGAAGCATTCACATTGGGTCAAACACTCACCTAATGTTCAAAGACTCACCCAAACAAGTGAGAGAGACATCACCTATTCACTAAAAACCTTA